GTAACCACTATGCTACCAGAGCTCCTTGGCATTGCACCTTAGGTGGTACAAATGGTTAGTATTCAGTTTGCAGATTGGTGGTTCAAACCCACCCAGTAATACCACAGAAGAAAAGGCCAGACATTCTGCTTTCATTATGATTACAACTAGGACATCAAAATGGTGCTGCTATATACTATGTAACCTATATGGAATTGCTATGACCCAGAATCCACTTGATGGTAACCAAAATCGACAACAATTGGGTATCCATCTGGGCTACAGAGAATGGAGAGATGGGAGGCTGAGGACATGAACAGAGGCTACACCATGCAGGACCTCAAGTGCCTGGCTGAGGGACTAGAGCTCTATCCTGGGGTATCTGGGGAGCTGCAGGAGGGTTAAGGGGTAGGGGAGGGTCAAAGTCAGCTCTGGATATGAAAAGGTTCTCTGGAGCTGAGGTCTGCTGAGAGGGGTTTGAGGGGAGAGAGTGATAGTTGGGAAGAGATTGGTCTTTGCAACAAAGAATGCTGGATCACCTGTCCATGCATGTCGGGTACCATTAAGGTGATGCTGACTTCTAGAGACCCTATGCACAACACAAAACAACACTGTGCCGTCCTCACAATTGTTACGTTTGCGTCCATTCTGACTGTCACTGTGTTAATCCATCAATTGAGCATCTTCCTCTTTTTCAATGATACTTTACAAGTTTCATACTTTACAAGTATGGTGTCCTTTTTCCAAAAGATTATCCTAATCTCTAAACCTTAAACCAAAAATATCTCCTGTCATCTTCTTAAAACTATTGTTATTGTTGTTGTTAAATACCGTTGAGTTGGTTTCAACTCACAGTGATCTTAAATAGGGTTGTCAAAGAGTGCCAGCTACCTCTGAGTGGGTTCGAACCACCGACCTCTCAGCTAATGGTGGAGCACTTAACGGTTTGCTCCAAACCAAAGATTTCTAATACAAACTGTGGTCGTTGGTGGTTATGTGCTGTGGAGTCAGTTCCAACTCATAGTGACCCTGTATAAGGTTTCTGAGTCTGTACATCCCGTAGAACGACTGGTAGTTTCAACTGCTAACCATGAAATGAACAGCCTGATTCGTAACCACTAAACTATCAGAGCTCCTATGAACCCGGCTTAATTAGCACCTGGAAAACTCCCAGGGCAACTCTACTCTTTTCTATACAGTTCTATGATTTGGAATATACTCGACAGCAGTAGGTTTGGTACTAATATGAATATAAGATGTTAATAAAAAGAAAAGCTATGTAGGAGAAAATATGTGCATTCTCCCTACTTTCTGCACGATTTTCTTGACAACCTAACACTACTCCAAAGAAACAAAGTTTCAAGAAACCAAGTGATTTGAAAAGAAAAGATACGTGGTAACTTACAGACACTGAAGAAACTGAGTTGTTGCTGATGTTCGGAGCCCTCTGGCACACAGCGACTCTGTGTAGGGTTTTTGAGCAGCAGCTGGTGAACTTGAACCACCAATCTTGCAGTTCAAACCAACCTTGCAGCCCAGTGCATCAGCCCACAGCACCATACCAGGACTCTAAGTAACTAATTGAGTAACTAACTGAACTAGGTGGAAGTCAGGTGGTTTCTGATTGAAACAAAAGTAACCCAGGCACATTCATAAAAGTAACCCAGGCACATTCATAAAAGCCAACTGAACAGGAAGGGAATACATAAGGATAACAAGGGATTGTAGTTAATTATTTATAGGTGTAATAAGAAGTCCTGGTGGTGCTGTAGGATAAGCACTGGACCACTAACCTCAAGGTCGGTGGTTCAAGCCCACAAGCTGCTCAGAGGGAGAGAGATGAAGCTTTCTGCTCCCATAAAGATTTACAGGCTTGGAAACCCTGTGCAGGGACGCTATGAAGTGGATTTTTTTTTTTTTTGCTTGAGGTAGATAAAGGTGGTGGCAGTGACAGTGGGGAGCACTGAGTCTATTTTCAACTCATCCTACTGACACTGCTGTTGAGTTGATTCAATTCATAGCCACCCTATAGGGCACGGTTTAGGATTCCAGAGACTATGACTCTTTATAGGGGCAGACAGCCTCATCTTTTTTCCAGTGGAGTAGCTGGTGAGTTTGAGCCACTGACCTTGTGGTTAGCCACTGCACCACTGGGCTCATTTTTTGACTGGTGTTGTTGTTGTCATGTGCTGTGGAGTCGGTTCCAACTCCTAGTGACCCTGTACAGGGTTTCTGAGGCTGTAAATCCTTATGGGAGCAGAACAGCTGGTAGTTTCGAACTGCTGACCTTGCGGTTCACAGCCCGATTCGTAACCACTACGCTACCAAAGCTCCTGGTAGTTGTTGTTAGGTGCCATCAAGCCGACACTGACTCACAGTGACCTTATGCACAGCAGAATGAAACACTGCCCGATCCTGGACCAACCTCACTACTGTTGCCATGCTTGAGTCCATCAATGCTGCCACTTGACCAATCCATCTTGTTGGGGGTCTTCCTCTCCTTCTCTGACCCTCCACCTTACCAAACATGATATCCTTCTCCAATGACTGGTCCCTCCTGACAATATGTCCGAAGTATGAGAGACGAAGTTTGGCCATCTTGGCCTCTAAGGAGCACTCTGGCTGCACTTCTTCCAAAATGGATCTATTGGTTCTTTTGGCAGCCCATGGCACTTTCAATATTCTCCTCCAACACCATAACTCAAAAGCATCAATTCTTCTACGGTCTTCCTTACTCACTGTCCAGCTTTCAAATGCATATGAGGTTATTGAAAGTACCATGGCTTGGATCAAGCGCACCTTAGTCTTCAAGCTAACATCTTTGCTCTTCAACACTTTAAAAGGGTCTTGTGCAGCAGATTTTCCTAATGCAATACATCGTTTGACTGGTAGTGCCCCTCATATGCAGGAGTGGATTACCCATTAAGCAAGGTAAACCTGGCTTCCATGTGAAATATTTCACTACAAATTAGGAAGTAAGCACAAGTAAGGTAAGCCTGTGCTTACCTTACTTACTGAGCATTCTGACACTGGCTCAGCTGTCAACTAAAAGGTTGGCGGTTTGATCCCACCAGCCATCATTAGGAACAAGAAGAAGCTGTCTATTCCAGTGAAGATGGCAGTTTTGGAAAGCCAAGTGTTTGGGGCAGCTCTACTCTAATCTACATACAATCACTATGAATCAGAATTGACTCAAAGGCAATGGGGTTAATTTGGTTTTGAAGTTTAAAGGAACAAGCCCTGGCGCAGTGGTTAAGCACTCCATGAGACTCACTCAGAAGGTCAGCTGTTTGAGCCCACTCAGTGGCACTTTGTGAGAAACGTGTCAGTCTGTTTCCATAAAAATGAAATTTTGGGAGCCCTGTGGGGCAGTTTTACCCTGTCCTTTAGGGTCAAATGAGTAGGAATGACTTTAAGACAATGGTTTTGGTTATTCTGGGTAGAAGACATACAATAGTGTCAATTCTATCCAATCAGAATTTCCGTGGTAATAGAAACATTGTATATGCGTGCTCTCCAGTGTGGTATTGGGTGCTTAGAAATGTGGTTAGTGAAATAGAGGAACTGAGCTTTTACATTGAATTAAAAATACAAATAACCACATGTAGGTAGTGGGCAATGAAGCAGAAGCAATGTTGGGAGGTGTTTCTGTTATACCAAAAACCCAAAGGAATTTCCATCCAATTGATTCTGACTCCTAGAGACCCCATGGGACAGAGCAGAACAGCTCCAGAGGGTTTCTGAGGCTGTCCATCTTTACAAGGGTTGACTTTCACATCTTTCTCCTACAGAGCAGCTGGTGGGTTGGAACCACAGACCGTGAGTCAGAATCAACTCAACAGCATTGGGTTTTGTTATTGGTTTCATCTGAAAGGAGCAGACTGCCAAGTCTTCCTCCTTGGGAGCCCCTGGGTACATTAGAAATTCTGAACCTTTTCCTCAACACCAAGCCCTTTAGCCTTTGGGCTCCAGAATAAAGTGTGGTGGTTACATATATATATGTTTGTGTGATATATATATGTTTGTGTGTGTTTTTAATGCCCTTATCAACGGCTCCTTGGAAACCTTATACAGGGTTGCTATGAGTCAAAACCAACTCAATGGCAGTTAACAACAACAACAACCCAATATGTATATACTGAAGGATTTACAGATGAAATACTGTAGAGTCTGGAATTTACCAAAGCTAAATCTGAGATGGAATGGGGAAGTAGGTCAGAAGTTGAGTAAAATATAAATAACTCTGGGCTGATCATGGTTGAAGACCAGTGATGGAGACTTATGGGTGGGAGCATTATCCAGTTCTCTCTGCTTATGTGTAGTTTGACAGTTTTTAGATTAAAAAAGGAAAAGTCACTTCTCCTTTGAGGTACTTGGTATTCATAGTTGAGTGTGTCTCCACTGGACCTCTGTCTTTCTGGGCAGTTCAGGAGCTTCAGGAAGGTGAAAATCATGTCCCTTCCTTCTCTTTGCCCAGGACCTGGAATGGCCCTTCCCTGTTCCCATGTACCCCCTTCACTGCCCTTCAAATACAATCAACCCATGGGGATTCGTATTACGTCCAAATCCTCACCTGCTTCTTCCTTGTTTACTCAATACAGTACGTAACTCTATCTGGTAAACCCTTTGCCCTGGAAGTAATTCTTGTGTCTGGTTTCCCCATGTGTGACCGAGTAGAACTGTGCCCCATAGGGTTTGGGATGACTGATGGTTTCGAAGGAAATTGCCAGTCTTCTGAGATGCCTCTGGGTGAACTCCAACCACCAACCTTTTTAGTTAGCATGACCCTACCTGGGGACTCATCTAGTTGGAACCAAAAGAAAAAACCCAAATCCACTGCCAACAAGTCAATTCCAAGTCTTAAGGAGCCTATCTATACAAGAGAGTTAGAACTGCTCCACGGGGTCTCTCAGGCTATAAGTCTTTACAGGAGCAGACGTCTAGCCACATTTTTCATCCATGTTCAAACCCAGTTCATGGGTTTGAACTGCTGACTGTGATTACTGATGGTGTTAAGTGCCATCAAGTCAGTTCCGACTCATAGTAACCCTATATAGGGTTCCCAAGGAGCAGCTGGTAGACTTGAACTGCTGACCTTGTGGTTCTCAGTCCAGTGCTGCTCCAACAGTGCCACACTTGTGATTAGCAACCCAATAATTAACCCACTGAGCCACCAGAGCCCCCTTTTAGTTGGTTGTTGTTGTTGTTAAGTGCGGTTAGGGTTGTTATGGGTTTGCAAGGAGCAGCTGGTGAGCTTGAACTGCCAACCTTGTGGATCAAACTGACTTTGCAGTCCAGCGCATTAACCCACAGCGCCAGTTAAAATCCATACTACAAACCTTTATCATACCTACAAGTAACCACCCATTGCTGTTAAGTTGATTCCTACACTACGTGTTACGGAGAACTGCTTGCTGCCTCATAGGGTTTGCTTGGCTTTGATCTTAAAGGAAAGGAACCCTAGTGGAGCAAATGGGTTAAACACTGAACTGAAAGGTTTGGTGGTTTGAACCCGACCAGTTACTCTGCAGGAGAAAGATGTGACAGTCTGCTTGCATAAAGACTTACAGCCTTAGAAAGCCTGAAAGGGTAGATCTCCAGTGTCCTATAAGGCCCCAGGAGCCAGAGTCAACTCAACAGCAATGCTGTTGTTGTTGCTAAGCGCTGTTGAGTTAACCCCTGGAAGACGTGCAGATCACAGGCTTTTCTTCTAAGGGGCTGCTGGGTGGATTCAAATTGCTAACCTTTTGATTAGTTGTGGTTGTTATCTGCATCTGCTGGACCACAAAGCCGTTTGAACTATAAGGTCGGTGGTTCAAGCTCACCAGCAGCTCCTCAGAAACCCTATACAGGGTCGCTATGAGTCAGAACCAATTCGACGGCACTTAACAACAACAACAACAAAGACCTTGCCTCCACAAATAATTATAAATTCTTAAGATGTTATCAGGACTCCTGGTGTGGCACTGTAGGATCAGCAGTGGACTGCGAACCACAAAGTTAGCAGTTCAAACCCACCAGCTGCTCCTTGGAAATCCTACCTAGGGTCACTATGAGTGGAATTGACTCCACAGCACTTTATGACAACAAGAAGATGCTATGAAGTGCTCCATCTGTTACTATTCACTTGGCCAATGTTGGCTGGATGTTTAGAGGCCTGGAGGCCTCTGGGAAGGAAACAGCTGAGTTGGAAAAAGTGATGGTCAGCCTGGGCCCTGGAAACTAAGTAGGTTTGGAATGTGTGAAGAGAGGCAGGAAGGGTGTTCCAGACTAGGGGAACAGCATGAGCAGGTGCTCAGAGGAAGGTTGTTGCATAGATGCGGAAGGGCCAATTGGGTCCTGGGATTAGAATGTAGACTCTGAGTGCAGGTAGAGAGAGGTCAAGTCTGAAAGGGTCATTTAGGGCAGGAGCTGGGGTTCTGTACTGGGGCACACAAGAGCCTGGAATGGTTGGGAGCAGGGGAGTCTAAGTGGAGGTGGGGCCATGGTCAGGGAAGAGGAAGGAGTCAGGGGTTCCTCACCCTTCCACTCGATGTTCCCACGGCCCCGCTCCAGGTGGCCCAATAGCCTCTGGGGACATGAGTCCAGCAGGAAGGTCTTCTCTTTATGGATGGCCTCGTCCTGTTTCATCCACTGGTTGCTAATGGTTTGGGCTTCAGGCCAGTCCCCACTCCAGATGCCCAGCTTGGGGTTGAACGTCATGAAGTCCTCGCCGTTAATGGCAAACTTGGCCATGGGCACCGAGACATTTCCTGGGCCCAACTCACAGCCCAGCAGACCTTGCAGGATCTGGGGATCTGGGGACCACATGAGGGTGAGTGAAACCAAGAGTCCTGACCCCCAACTTCTCCATCTCAGATCTAGGAATCCACACCCCCATCCCTCTCCTCCCTCAGAACCAGAGTCTGGGTCCTGGCCCCCTCCTTCCTCAGGCCCAGGAGCCCAGGCCTCACCTTCTCCTATCAGGACTTTGAGCGCTTCAAGGAAGAGCTTCTCCTGGTTTCTCAGGTCGACCGTCTCTTTCTCCCAATACCAGGACACCTGGTTTTCCCAGACCCATGCCCCATAGGGCTCAGCCTCAGACCTCAGGTTATTGTAGCTCAGGTACTGCTGTGGACCCAGCCAGCCAGTCACCCAGAAGGCAGGAGTCCCCTGGGCAGGGGAGGACACAGCGGTGAGACGGTATAGGAGGGAGAGTTGGCTGTCTGTGGAGAGAGAGGTGAGGAGAACATGGGGATGGAGGGGCATGCTAGACTGGGGGGGGACACAGAGCCAGAGAGGGGGGAGGACAGAGGACAGAGACCCAGAGATACAGGGGGACAGAGATCCACAGAGACAGAGGGAAACAGAGAGACAGAGAGAGACAGGGGGACAGAGACCCATAGAGACAGGGGGAGACAGAGAGACAGAGAGAGACAGGGGGACAGAGACCTAGAGAGACAGGGACAGACAAAGAGAGAGAGACAAGGGGACAGAGAGCTACAGAAGGAAGGGGTCAGAGACCCAGAGCGAGAGGGGGTAAGAGACCCACAGAGAAAGGGGGGCAGGGACCCAGAGAGCGAGAGGGACAGAAGGAAAGGGCAGCAGATACCTACGCAAAGAAGGGGACGGGCACCCAGAGAAACTAGCGATTGGTAGCTGCCAGTCCCAGAGGCCGCCCGCGGAGGAGAGCGATAAACAACCGGGAAAGCCGAGGAGGAAATGCGGTTTTCCAGTGAAATCTGGAATCCGATGGCTCAGCTTTCCCGCGGCGCCCGTACCCCCCTCCCCCGCCGCCCCTCACCTGCGCCCAGCGTCCTGGGCAGGAGCAGCAACAGCACACCGAACCCCCAGAACCGCGGTCGGGGGACCCCCATCCTGAGTCGGAGACCTGGCGGAGGGAGGTGGGTAACCTCGGCCCGCCCCGCCCCTTCCTCCGGGGACCCGCCGCGCGGCCCCGGTCCCGGGCGGCTGGGTATGGGTCCGGGGGGCTAGGTCTGGTGGGTAACAGGTTTTTCTTAAAAGAAAGTTCCCTCCTCGTCCGTGAACTTTCACCCCTGAATTTGATCCGTGTTGGTTAATTAATTACAGAACCTGGATAGGCTGAGATTCCTTTCGTAGAGGACGGCCCGCCCCTCCTCCCTCAGACCCGTGATCCTGGACCCCCCATGGCCCACCGTCTTAAGAACCGCGATCAAGGCCTCTGGCCCCTTCCGCCCTCAGACCCCACCCTCACCGGATCCCTCAACCCTCAGACCCGAGTCAGCACCCCAATTCCCTCCGCCTACAGACTTGGCGAGAGTCAGACCCCTCCGGCCCTAGACCTGGTCCTTTGCCCCCTCCCCTCTCTCAGTCCGGGAGCCAGGAGCCCCAGCTCCCTCCTCCCTGAGACCCGGGAGTCCTCGCCCGGACTCCCTCCCGGGTCTGGCCTCCAACCCCGCTCACCGCAGCTATGTTCCCGTCTCGCCTTCAGCCTGCCGGCTCCCGTGACTGGAGACCCCAGTTCCTCTCTTACATCCTGTCCGGAGACTGCTCCCCCAGCTTCAGGGCACACCCCATCGCTCGCCCAGCCTCTCCCCCGTGGTGTTTGTCTCTCTCAGCCTCACTTTCTTTTTTTTCCGGTCTCTTGTTCTTACTCCCTGATTTTCATTCTGAGGCGTCAGCCACTCGGCGAATGTGGTGGGACCTGACCCCAACACTAACTACCAGGGTGCAAACTTCGGAGACCTCTTTGGGTCCTTTATGACCATCTTGTGTCCCCACCATGGCCTTCACAAGTTCCTGCTATAAAGAAAGTTCTGGAAATGCCTCTATATTTCCCCCTTTGCCCTTACCCTAAGCAGCCCTTTAACTGCTCTTGCTGCTCCTTAAAGGTCTTCTTCGTTGCCTCATAACCACACATTCCCAACACCCTGTCATCCTGCCACTATGTCCTGTTATAATGTTGTGTTGCATGAAACTTGAGGATCATCACCCTGGGGATCTGCAATGAAGGCCTCCCAGAGGCCTGATAGAACATGTATGGGTCTTCCTGTAATACTTCTGGACCCCCTATGATACTCAAAGGGCCTTTTACATGTTCTGAGATCCTGCTAAAATGTCCCCAAACCTTATGTTCCATGCTAAGAGTCCCCAGAACTTCTCTGAAGGCTCCCTTGAGCCCTAGTGTAACATGCATATGGTCTGAGGGCCACCGGTGGCATTGTGGGCTAACTGTTGGGCTGCTAATCACAAGGTCAGGGGTTCAAACCCACTAGCTGCTCCAAGGCAGGCAGATAAGCCTCTCTGCTCCCATGAAGATTTACAGCTTTAGAAATCCTAAGGAATAGGTCTACTGTGCCCTATGTCGGGTTACTGTGAGTTGGAACTGATTCAATGGTAAAGGGATAATTTCTCTTGGCCCCTTAAAATGGTCTCAAGACTCCACTGTGCCCCTACACCTGTATAATGGCCCCCGGGTCCCCTGAGGCTTCCCTGGCTCTGCTGGACTAGCAGCTGTACCACCCACACCTGTGGGAACATAAGCAAGAGGTCTCCCTACCCCATGCCCCAGGATGTCCCTTGATCATCTTAAGTGCCCACCTCCATGTCCCTTGGGCCCATAGTAGTATTGTGAGACCCAGCCATGTGGCCTTCCAGAGTATTTGAATACTCTGGAGTCTGCCACCCTACCTCCTGGAGGCTGCAAACTGAACACCAATAGAACCATTATCACAGCACACTTTCTGGATTCTAGCCATGTGCTCTCAACCCCAGCCCCTCGCCCTGCTACCAACCCTGTTCTAATTGCCCCCATTTCTGTTGCAAGACTCCCCAAACCCTCTCCTGGGTTCCCTTTGCTCCATTCAGAGCCCCCACAGGAAAGACAGAGAGTGAGACAGGTAGGGAAATAGATATATATATAGGAAAACAGAAATAAAGACAAAATAGATATCTAGACAAGTAGGAAGATAGATAAAATAGATACAAAGACAAATAGATGCTGTGTTGTTAAGTGCCACTGAGTCGGTTTCGACTCATAGTGGCCTCCTACAGGGTTTCCAAGGAGCAGCTGGTGGGTTTGAACAGCCAATCTTGTGGTTCACAGTCCAGTGGTGACTCTACAGCACCACACCAGGAGTCCAGACACATGGATAAATGCAGGCATACTTGAGTTGTTGCAGGTTGTCTTCCAGACAACCACAATAAAGCAAATATTGCAATTAATCGAATCACAGGAATTGTTTGGTTTCCCAGACGATATCAAAACTTTGCTTGTACTCCACTTTAGTCTATAAAGTGTGCAGTAGCATTATGAAAATGTATGAAAGATTGTGAAACTGACCAAAAATGGGACACAGAGACATGAAGTGAGCACACATGATTGCAAAAGACGGACTTGCTAGATGCAGGATTGCCACAAACCTTTCATTTATTAAAAAAAAAAAAATGTAGTCAGCTGTGAAGTTCAATAATGTGAAGCAATAAAATGATGTATGCCTGTAGACAGATTAAACAAACAGATACACAGATGGATCTAGGCATAGACAAGGAGTCAGAAAGATAGACAAGAACTACAACAGATACACAGAAAGACAGAATTGCAGTCTTGATATGGCGCTGTGGGTTAATGCGCCAGACTACAAAGTCATTTAGACTGCAAGGCCAGTGGTTCAAGCTCACCACCTGTTCCTCAGAAACCCTGTACAGGGTCGCTATGGGTTGGAACCGACTCGACAACACTCAACAACAACAACCTTCTCCTAGGAACTTGGTGTCATGCCCCCTACCCCACCCAAAAGGTCCTCAGACCGGACTACAAAGGGTCTTTCTTTGGTCCTGCTCTCTGGCTCTGGGTACCATCTTTAGATCTCTGGGTCCTGCTCCAATGGCCCCAGGGCCCTGTTAAAACATTTTTTAGGACCTTTCTCAGTGGCCCCAGGACTGGCAGATAGGACCACTTTAAGTGAACAAGTCCATGAGTTCCTGCTGCCAAGCCCCTCTTGCACAGCCCAGATGTCCTGTCCCATAACCCAGCTCCCTCAGGAGTGCCTGCATCCTATTTGTCCCTCTCTGAGCTCCCGTACACACCGGGCATCTCTTCCAGGACACCTGAGTGCTGCTGTACTGTCCCACTGGTTCTTGCCAAATTTTTTAGGATCCTACCAGTTCTTCTGGTTCCACTATTGGACGCAGGACAATTTGTCTCTGTTTACCAGGAGCAACAGAGGAAGGAGAAACAGGAAAAGAAGAAGGTGGTTCATTGCTTCTTTTGCCACAAGACTAGAAAGAAATGGTATCTGGCTATCATTACCAAACATTTTGATCTAAGAGGTTGTTGTTAAGTGCCGTTGAGTTGGTTGCCACTCATAGCGACCCTGTAAAGGGTTTTTAAGGAGGGACTGGTGGGTTTGAACTGCCAACCTGGTGGTTAGCAGTCCAGTGCTTATCCTATAGCGCCACACCAGAACTAAGATACTATAGAAAAATCCTGATCAAAAGGAGGGATATGTGGAACAGAAGTCCAACTTCTTATGGACTCCAAACCTACCCTGATATCATCTGTAAACCAAGAATATCCCCTGAGGTCTTATTAAAATCAAGTAATAGTTTACCTTAACCGGAACAATATGTGCATTGAAAATGTGCTCTCTTAAGATCTATCTATATGGGAGCTTATTAACAGTAGCGCCTCAAAAGCTTAGAGAGGAATTTTAGGGGGCAGTAAGTTTATGTGAAGGAGTCCTGGTGTGGCGCTGTGGGTTAATGCACTGGACTGCAAAGTCCATTTGAACCGCAGGTTGGCGGTTCAAGCTCATCAGCTGCTCCTTGGAAACCCTATACAGGGTCACTATGGGTCGGAACCGACTCGACGGCACTTAACAACAACAGCAAAAAGTTTATGTGAATGCAGAACAACTCAGAAAAGAATGGTGAGAATGATTGCTCAACTTTAAGAGTGAATTAGTGTCGTTGAATTTACATGTAGATACTTGAATTGGTGTACATTTTGCTGTGCGTATTCGCCTCCATCCACAACAACAATATAAAATAAATATGTAGTTTTGAATGTCCTTAAGGTCCCACAATGCTCTCCCCTTGAGCACCAAGAAGCTTCTCTAGACCCTGCTGGAATTGGTCCAGTCTTCCTTCACATGACCTTGAAGGTTTCTGTAATTCCTTCTGAGTGTCCCCTGTAAACCCTAATGACCCTTAATTCTGCTATGAATCTTTAAAACAAAAAAGAAACTTTTTCCATCTTCATGTCTCTTTCTCTGACTCTGAGTTTCCTGCCTCCTTCTAATAAGGACCCTTGTGAGACATCAGGCCTCCTGAATGATCCCAGAGAACCTTCCATCTCAGCAGCCTTAACCTCATCTTAGCTGCAAAGTCCTTTTAACCATGTATCTTAGTTCTTTCTGCTCCCATAAAGATTTACAGCCTGGGAAACCCTGTACAGGGTCGCTATGAGTCGCAACTGACTCCACGGCACATCATCACCACCATCTTGGTTACCTAGTGCGTCTATAACAGAAACACCACAAATGAGTGGCTTTAACAAACCAATTTCTTTTCTCACAGTTCACGAGGCTAGACGTGTAAATTTAGGGAGCTTGTTCTAGGGGAAAGCTTTCTGTCTGTTGGCTCTGGAGGAAGATCCTTGTCTCTTTTGAACTTCTGCATCTTCCTGATGTTCATGTGGTTTAGCATCTCTTTTCCCTATCTCTGCTCACTCACTAGCTTGTTAATCTCTTATAGCTCAAAAGACATAAAAGACTTAAGATACACCCTACACCAATACTGTCTCATTAACATAACAGTGAAAAGCC